TGTTCGCTCTGCGATGCAAAATGTTTTTGTAATAAATTGAAGGGTCATATTTGGGCCAGGGCAGCCAGATCCAATTTTCACACTCATACATGTCCAAGTGGTTTCCAATTTCTATACCAGCTAATGTTTATATTGTTTGAAGTTTGAAAATGCAACTGCCATGTCCTGCTGTTTTTCGGAGGTGCCCTCTTTGGGCGAAAAGCAAAACGGCACCAATAAGAACTCATCCTTAAGCTTTTTTTTGCATGGCTTTCAGAGGTACCTTACTTTTGCCGCGATATGGCCCTCAAACAAAGCACAGAAGGGCACCAACCCAGAAATGCACCTTATATAAGTTGTTTTTGTTTTTTCATTCGGCCCTCTGCTTCTGGATCTCTGTACCGCGCAGTGTCTTTCCACACCTGCATCGACAATTCATCTCAAGCAGCGGCTCACAAGTCCTTCAAGGTGCTCGAAGATGCATTTGCCGTGCCTTGCTTGCATTTTTTCGGAGGTGCCTTCTTTTGCCCCTAGACAGCCTCCCAACAAAACGCAACAGGGCACCAGCCAAGAAACTTCAACTCTCCGCGTCTAGGTTTCTTCAAACCCGTGTGCCTTTCAACACCCAGCTCATCTCAAACAGCGGCCCAAACCCTGCGTTTTACGAGCTTGCCCCCACAAATCCACAAACTTCCGCGTCCAAAACCAACGTACTTTACATTGTTTTTCATCCAATGCAGCGCTATTTACGAGGCTTAACAGGCTTAACACTGTACATATCTTACAACATCTTGCTATACTCAAACCGGCAAATTTACCATGGCTAGTCGATGATGCAAAAAATGCTAGCTTAAAGTGTCGTGGCATCATTTGCATGACCAAGGCAGTCATAGGGTCATATTTTGGCCACAGAAATCTTGAACTCTTCAGCAGACTCTGGGTTCACCCCTACAGTACACCACCTATGTACCCACCTTGTTCGCAAGACAGAGCTCCAGCCTAGCCTTCGGCTGGCTTTTGTAACAATTGTAACTTTTATATAACAAAGGATGGCTTGTGCGAGGCTTTGAAAGTTCGTGCTGGCTGTGTCTCAAGCTGAATTCTTGTCTCAAGCTAGCCGGTAGTGGGCCAGTGACCAGTGGACCTGACTTGCGTGTCTGTGGCATGGCACTCTTCTACTCTCCATGCTTTGTTGTTTGTACAGTAACCCTGCAGCTGCGGTGGCTGCACATACACTTGAGGCTCTGGATCGAATGCCACAGCAACTCTAGCAAAGCATTCATAGTATATATTTCATAGTATATAAGTGGTCGGTGCTTAAATATGCTATGAATGATTGTACATGGAGCGTGCCTGTGCACAATACATCATATTTCAATTATCTATATAATGGCTTCCTTTGATGACTTTGTGCTAAAATTCCATACCAAAAAATCCAAAAAAAGCCAACGCACACAGGAAAACTCTTTGAATCATCACTATGGGTAGCTACGTGCTTGCACATCAAGTTCATGCACGGCCACTGGAAGCAAGGTCGGACTCTCAGCAGCTTCAGTTTTCCTCCAACCTTCAACCCTCTGGCAAGTCCTTAGGACGCACCTATGAAGGTGTCGGTCGTGCCGGCTGTGCTGGCTTCTTCCTTTTTGGCGTCTTTTTGAGAGCCGAAACCGTGGTATGATCCTTGGCAACCTCTTCCGGATTGACTGGGTTTTTGAGGCTCTTTTCTTTAGAGAGCTTCTGGGCTCGAACAGCCCCTCGATGCTCAGTGACTTGATCTGTGAAGCCAAGCTCCGACAACAAAAGCTCTGCACGTTGTTGAGCCTTGGTGGTCTTCGACAAAAGCCTCACGTGCTTCAATGACTGTGAAGGCAAGTAGTTGGGATTTGTTGGACAGACGCCTCAAGCAACACATGTTTCAATTATATAACCCTTGAGTCCCAGAAAATTGTCAGAAAATCAATGTATATACTAAATTATATTAAAAACACACAATTGAAAAGGGACCCCTTCCCCGCAAGTGAGCAGCTTGATGGCATCTTCCTCTTTTGTCTCCAGTAGCTGCAGTTGCTTGCCAATTCGTTTCTCAATTGCTTCCACCCGAGGGACATCGAATTCACTCATCAATGAGACCACCTTGCCAGGCCGCCCGGCTCTTGCAGTTCGCCCAGCCCTATGGACATAGGAATCGGAATCAAAGGGCAGCCCTACATTCATCACAACTGCTACCATGGGAATATCCAAGCCCCGACTAGCCACATCAGTCGCAATGAGGATCTTTGCACGACTGGCCCGGAACTTTCCTAAGCTTGCTAGCCTTTGTCTCTGTGTTTGAAGCGAATGAAGTCCAGTAACTTCAAAGCCCAAAATGTCAAGCATCGTGGTGTAAAGCTGGCATTCCTCAATAGTGGGCGCAAACACAATGCAGCTATCCTCTGGAAAATTGTTTTTTCAGCAAATAATGTAAGTAGTTTACCTGCACTGACTTAGGCACGAAGACATACAACTGCGTCAAATTCTCCAAGCTCTCCTCGTTAGGATTGGCATCGACAAATGTGAGCTCTTTGTCCCTTCCTTGCTTCAATTTCTGAATGCACTGGGTGATGGTTGCAGAAAAAAAACAAAGTCTGACGGGATTTGGGTAACAATTCCAGTATATTGCCCAGCGGTTCCTCAAAGGTCTGAGTCAACAACTGGTCCTTAGATACACACCATTGAACTCAAATGAACTCAAAACCTGTGTTTCTTTACAGTATGAAAATATGCATACCGAGACAAAGCGTGTGTTGATTTTTTAACCAATAGCGCCTCAAAAAGGTACGTGACCAGCAAAACTGTCTGAATTGAATGGCTTGCATCAGCTTCGTCCAACACAAGTGTGTGCAACTTCCGAAAGGCCTTTGCAAGGGCAAAATCGCCTCGCAAAAGATCTGCCAACCGGCCAGGAGTTGCGACCAGCACATGAGTTCGATCTGCAATCATCTGGCTTTGGATGGAGAAGTCTCGTCCACCCACTATCTCCCCAACCTTCACATTGATTGATTGACCCATTGCACGGAAATTCTCGGTGACTTGAAATGCCAACTCGCGAACCGGCACTAGCACCAGGGCGAAAACTCCGTATGGATCTTTTGACAAGTGATGTAGGATTGGCATGCTATAGCAGGCGGTCTTGCCACTTCCGGTTCTGGCATTGCCTGCCAAGTTCTTGCCAGCCAGAACGTGCGGAATACACATTGCTTGTATATCTGTAGGGTAGTTCATGCCAAGTTTCCCACAGGTCTGTACAATCCAATTGGCTAATCCGAGCTTTGAGAATGAAGCGTCGGTCCGGAAAAGAGCCTGACTTGTTCGTTTAGTCTTAGGAGGAGCTTCCTCAGCTTCCGTCGCATGTGCTGATGTCTCAACACCAGGCTTATCAGTTTTGGTTGCTTTGGATCCCCGCTTTCTTTTCAGCGGCAGTTTCGCCTTCAAAGCTTGCTCCTCCGTTCCAGTATCCTTGGTCTCTTTATCTTGAAACGTTTGGCTGTGTGGCTCAGTCAGCTTGAACTTTGCACCTACAGCCTTGCGCATCTTTGCCTTTGGTGCCATAGCGGTGGCTAACCCTTTATCTTACTTCATATGTACTATCAAGAAGCGGGAACTGATGTTATGTAATTTTTGGTGTGGGGGGCCGTAACTTGAGGACAAGGATGAGGATAAAAAAGCCCAGGCATGCCCAAGCAACTTATTCAATGTTGGGCTGCAGAAGATTGAAGGGGCGTTTGAAAACAATAACATGCTTGCATTGGCAAATGGCCTACCCAATGCAAAAAAAGAGTGGAAATGCTGCAGTAAGCGGGAACTAGAATGAACTAGACATGTGTCATAAAGCAAGTGAGAATTGCTGAGCAACACGTGCACCAAATCAAGGGCGGCCGTGTGCACCTTACGCCTTTTTCAAACAACCCCGACGGCTCAGGACACTCGAGGAAAGTGCACTGTACAAAGCTAGTCATAGTGCTTGGACTCCGGGCAGTTCTGAGCCAAGGGTCCGAGTTGCACAAAAGTTGGGACTCGATGAGTTTCAGCATTAAGGTGAAATAAGACCACACACGGACGGTGGATATTCAACTGGATGTAAAAAGAAAAAGGGAAGAAAAGAAATAGAAACGGTATGAAAAGGTCGAAAGTCTAAAGGTTTTAGTTTCGGCTCCCCTTTTGAATTCTTTCGGTGACTAGGTGACTAGATGTGACTGCCCTCTAATATACAACATCTATGCTGGCACAAACTGGTCCACACATGTCCACATATCTGCCAAATGAACGACAAATTTTCTGAACACAAACTAAACAATACTCCGTAGATACATGGCATGGCACAGTAGCCGCTTGCAGCCATCCAACTGATGTTGACCTCTTATGAATAGACATAGGGAGACTTTTCTATGCTACCGAGAGTTTCCTTTGTCGATGTTCACTTCAGAGCAGTCCCACAACCACGAAACCCTCAAACAATTTAAATGCATCATTTAAATACCGTTTTGCATGTGGCACGAGTTTGAACATGAGCATGGTTGTCCTGATTTTACAAACGGGACAAGCGGATATGCACTCTCACCCTGGCTCCTGCTGCCTAGTTGGAAAAGCACCACTCAGGATAATTCACATTGAGATTTGCAACGGCCGAATCCACTGCCATGGCTCGAAATCAGAGCTTGCAAGGCAGTACCACCAAGCTTTGTGTAAGCGGTGCAGGGAGGGCAAGTTGCCAAACACTGCCAACCCTTTGGTGACGAGCGGTGAAACTTCCAAAAAAACGAACCACCGTTGTGCCACTTTTGGTCCCCAAGCGCATGGGGCCACGGGACACTATTCCATTGCGGCTAGTCTGCACAAGACGCGGTCAGCAAAAAGAAACGATCATAGCCGAACTCTGGCATCATCATGCAGCATTGACATCAAACAAGCATGTTGTCCACCATCCTCATTGTTTTAACATGTTTTAACTGGTTTATATAGTGCCTTGCTAAGTTCAGCCAGACTTACCAGACCTTCACTTCTTGTCTCACGCGTCTCTGCTTCATTAACACAGTGCCGCGCCAACCCTGACATCTCAGCCAGGGACCTGGAAGGGAGACAAGAGATTTGAAAACAAATCCATCATCAACCGCAAGTCGATAGCTTTTAGAGTCCCGCGCCTGGGCCCTCACTCTTGGAAGAGTCAGTTGGCACGAAAACATGAGATTGGATGGCACCGGCATTCTGCGCAAGGCAGTGATAAACATCAAAGCATCCTCGACAGTCTGATGGCCCAAAAGGTCCGATCGATACCTTGGATTGGACAAGTGGTCGCAATGGCACGAAGGTCTGCGAGTTGCCTCCTGCAACCAGCGATGATTGTTCTGTGGTCTGTGATGCGGCGATTCATGGTGATTCTATCTCTTTCTGCTTGTAGCGAAGGAGTTGTCGTCCAGCCACCTGAGGCTAAGGTAAAACAGGCGATCACAATCTTGGAGTCTTCATAGCATCTCAACACTGTTTGCTTTCTGGATGATGGGGATGGAGCTTCGACGCAGAAAAGCGGGAGTCAATGGTTTCTCTGGCTGCTGAAGACTGCATGTGGAAGTGAGATGATACATGTTCATAGCATTTCATCGCTTTACTTTATATAAATAATTGCGCGGCGCAGCTCCTACGGCTTCGTCACTTGATTGCGCCTGTGAGCGACCGTTATGGTGGACCTGCCAATGCCAGGAAACAGACGCGGCGTGATGAGGGTAAAGTTTAGAGGAAGAAGGAGCCATTACAATGTAGCAGACCTTTTGTGAGCCACCTGAGGTTAAGTTTTAGAGCAGGAAGGAGCTGTTCCAATGTTGCGGACCTTTTGTGAGCGCAAGGGTAAAACTGTATTGCAGTAATATAAAGGATGCACGGGCCATTCCAAGGTAGCAGACTTTTTCTGAGCCCCTCGAGGTTAAAATTTAGGAGAGGGAGGAGGCAGTCGAATGTAGCATAGCTTTGGTAAGCCAGCCAAAGATAGAGTTTAGAGGAGGAAGGACACATTCCAATGTAGCAAACCTGTTGTGAACCACCTGAAAGTAACCTTTTGTGAGCTACCCGAGGGTAAACATTCGAGGAGGAAGGAGCCATGCTAAGGTAGAAGACTTTTGTGTCAGCCATCTGAGGATAAAATTCAGAGGAGGAAGGAACCATTCCAACGTTGCAGGCCTTTGTGAGCCACGCAAGGGTAAAACTCACCCCCGCTGGCTCTGCTGCTTCTTCTCCTGACCCTTCTGCTGCTCGTGATGCTTCTAAAGCACTCCCAGAAAAAGCCCCCAGAAAATATCAAAGAAACAACTCAAAAAACAATAACTAGAATATCACCATTTTCCCAAGGGGGTGTACTTTTTTGAGCTGCCTCACCATTCCTCCCTCTTTGGTCCTTCTTGGCATCAAGACACGACGTGAGGATGACGATTGTGACGGTCAAAAAGCCAGCCAGGCCAGCAGATGCCAGAAATGGCACCTGAGAGAAACTGCAAGTTGCAAAGCGAAAGGCCAACCAATCTGGAATACAAAGATGTGATGTGGTGTTACAAAAATCAAATACCGAATACATGAACCACACAAGCCCTCAATTCCCTCCGACTCATGTTCTCCCTCAATTGTTCTCCTGTTCAGTTCCACCAAAGGCACTGTTTCAAGGAGTTGCTCGAAGGGAAGCCACTTTCCAAACATAGAGAGCCACGCAGTGGGAAGGACTGCCGTCAAATTCAGTCCTGTGGAGTCTCTTGGCCCCAAATGCGTCTCCCAAGAAAGCCTTCTTATAGGGGCGAAATTGCTGACGCTCTGTCGTGACTCAATCGGCGATTCTTGTGAACCTCAAGAAGCAAACATCTGTCCTAGTGTCTGGAAGAGATGGTAGCTCAACTGTCCGTCAGTCTTGTCGAGCACACTCTGCAGTAAAGGGATCCCTTCATCAATCAAAGGAAAGTCCTGGGACCAAAGCAACCTCAGACTCAGAGATATCGATAACCTGAAGTCTCGAAAAGTTTTAAGTTTAAGTGATACAAAAATACCAAAGCCACTTCCCGTCAAGTGCCAGAGATGTCCAAGAGTCGTTTCTGCCAAGGAAGAATGCTGCTGATGACTCAATGTGACTGTGTCTAGCAAACAAAGGCAAGTACTACACTAGCTTGGAAAGCTTCACATTGTATAATTAAGCCGCCTCAACATTCTTATTATATATTTATCCCGATCTCAAATCAATCGGCTTCCCCTGTTAACCATCCTGAAGCATAGAAAGTATTGGACGGAAAAGTCGACAGAAATCATCCGCAATCGGGGGCACATCAGTCACAGAATCAGCATGAAACAGAAAAACTATAAACATTGGCATTGACTTCTGGCTGGAGTGACTTGAATGATGCCATATAGTCTGCAAAGAGCTGCTCTGCAATGAGGGAATCTCGCCCTTGGTCACTCTGTGTCACTCGTTCTCTGCCCGACTGTGACTCTTCTGCAGGCGGCACGCAAGGATTTTCACTTCTTGATTCCAAGTGATAAACAAGACCAATGACTTCCCCTGCAGCTGGGACTCCTTTGCTGCAAGTTACAGCTGCAAGGAAGCACATCCCTTGAGTGTAGCCCAAATGCGGATTCTTCCGAGCATAGCCTCCCACAATCGTGACAACCATGGAAAACAAAAACAGGAAGAGAGAGAGGGAGATAGGAGACGGACAGAAAAGGCAACACAAAAGCGCAACAATAGAGAAAACACTGCACCTCAAGAGGCGGCAAAATCATCAAACATCCGTCTTAGGGAAAAGAACAAGGCTATACACACTGCCGGATTTAATGACAGAAGCAACTTGTCTGCCGATCCCCACCCCTCAAAACAGCAGCCATCTCCAAACGAAGCTGGTCGACTTGCTCGTGGCCTTGGAGCGCATGAAAGGTTGCAGCCCCAAATCCCCCTGATCATTGGCTTGTAAATAGTGCAAACATGTTCAAACTGCTTCAACGTAATCATTCCACCAATACCAACTGTAGACAAACCACCTGTGTAGACTCTTGCGACATCACGGGCAATCACCTTTGCATAGTCACGGAACTTGTCATCCGCCTCATTCAGTGCCTGTCCAACATCATCGAAGGCACTTGTTCCTAGTAGCGTCCTTGCTCCTAGTGGCGATGCCCTTTGCTCCTAGTAGCGTCCTCTACCTCCCCACTTGCAACTCTGCTTTTTTGTTTCGGTGCTTGAGGGGGATTTTAGTTTTTTCCGCTTTTCCATGTGTGTAGCCCTTGCAACCTTAAAATTCTGAAATCGTCCACCTCTCAACAAAAGAGCGAACATGCAAGGTGTGCAACCTTGATGACGCCTTAAGCTCCCTTGATCTCTCACAGCGAGGGGCACATAATGGCACATCTATCAAGGCGGGGTCTGAAGGAGTCATCGATGTCCTTGCCTGTGGCGATCTACACCTCTCAAAACAGGGGGATGCTGAAGCCGACCGGCATCGCGTCACCATGTGTCCTGCTAGCTGACTTCCTCATCAAATCAACCAACCAATCATCTCAACACTTATGCGCCGGACCTTCACACAACCCTTCTCTCTCTGGTGCCCATTTGTAGTATTTTGCCATAGCTGACAAACAGTTATACATTGGAAAAAAGGCAGTCCTATGTCTCCCATGGTCTCTGGCTCGGACAAAGGCGACACTGAATCCTAAAGGCAGCAACACACACACAGCTTTGTGTATCCAAAGTGTATCCATGTTGTGCGTTTTCCAACAGACTGCATCCCTATTGCAGGATGTTGCTGGATGCTATGTGGCTTTCCAGGCAACGTGCTATTGAACTGTGCAAATGTTTGCCGTGTAAGGAACTTAATCTCCTCAAGACACCTCGCCGATTTATTTGCAGCCTCAGAATCCTCCAGAAACAAAGATTTATCCTCTTCCAAGGGAAGAAGCAATCGGACCTCGCACACAAGGCTTTGGGGGAGTGTCTCCCTGTTCTCGACTGCGTTTGCTTTGCTAGGTGACTGCCTTTCCGATCCAAGCCACGGTAAAGGTATGCCATTCGCGGTCCCCAGCAGTTCGTAAATGCTTACGTCCTGAGGTTTTGCGGAGCAGGGAAAGCCGACTCTCGTCTTTCCAGAAATGATCGGCATCCTATATAGGCATAAGCTCCGATAATGGCTTCGTTCTGAAGTCTTATCGTGCGTTTGTCTGCAATGGGCAGGATGTCATAATGCGTGTATCAATGTTGCCAGTTGGCTCAGAAAAGTCAAGGCTCACTAATTATTGACACAGCACAAAGGGTTGTCGAGGATTCAACCTCCTGTGTGCAACTTATGTGTGCAGCCATTCAACATGCATGTATGCACTCTGTGTGGGTGTGGGTACCATGCAAAGCCAAAAGGCTAGCTGTCATTGCTACGAGAAATGACGTTGAAGGTTCCAGGGTCACTGTTAGACTCTTGCAACGTGCTTGAGGTTCATAACCGGGACCCATCTTTTTGCATCTTGATAGAAGATGATCTTATCTCCTAGGGCCCTCTCCCGCAGCTTGTTGAAAACTTCTTATTCTGTGGGCATCATCTCTAGCATCTCTAAACATCTTTTACCCATGAGAATCACACATTGCCAGATGCCCTCCATATCCAACCTACGGACAATCACTTGCACACATTCTTCCATATGCCGCCATCTCATCTCTGAGGCATCCGTTTCTTCTGAACTCGAAAGAGTTCACTTCATCTGTGTTCTGCAACATAAACGGCACTGCATGCACGTTCATCTACAGTTGCCTAGAGCGACAAAAAACTGGAGACATTAGTCCTTGTCAGCAGAACTGGAATCGGGTCATTGGAACAGTGGTGGGAAGTTGCTATCGAAAAAGGAAACATTCCCTTGACCACCTCCATCATATCCCATCATAGAGGTTCGGGCCAGGTTGTCTTTTGTGCAGCAGCATCACGCATGTGCCATACAATATGCAGCATAAACTATCATTAGCATGGCGTGCGTTGCACTCTGCCACGTTGCACGTACAAATGATACATCCACCCGCCGAAGCTTTGAACATCTTTGCTTAACAAGTTAAGCTTTCACTTTTACATTGTTCCTAGTAGCTTGTTAGTACTAGTAACGATGGCTGCCAACCACGATGGCTGCCAACCTAATAGTGATGGCCTCCACCTGGTAGTTTTTTTGCTACTAGTAGTAAACTTGCAAATGCATTCAAGAGTCCACTGAGCAAGCCTTCGCGAACTTCACACTTTGAGGGGCTCTCAGCTCCATCCACGTGATGCCTGGGAGTTAGGGACTTTTGGGGGTCAAATTGCCAAAAGGCTGACCTGTACATATCTAAATCAAGCAGTTTCGCAAAAGTTAATTACTTAAAATTCAGGCTCATTACAGTTTGGAAAACACAGTTAGAATATTACACAATATTGAAACGAAGTTATATATTATATATATATAAATTGCATTTAAAGGTTCGCATTTCCGGAGACAGGTGAAAATAGAATATACTGATGTGAGACCAGATTGGAACAATATGTCGCAATATCAAAAATATCGCATGAATGATTCACGTATGCACATACCTCTCCAGTGTTTGCTGCAGTTAAACGCTTTGCGCAATGTACTGTTGCTGTCACATGCGCTGAGTTCTGTCCTAGTTATGCTTACATCACTGTGCCATGTCGCAGTTGTGATTGTTGCTGTTTCGGCAGTATTGACAAGAAGTTTTCCGTGAGTCAACATTGCACTCTGGCACTCAGGACTGCTTTTGTTGAGTGTGTTCGATGTCATGTGCCAATAGGTTTACCGCAACAACAACAAGGCAATCAGAATTTGTAGAGGAATCTCGAGCTCAGTTGCATGTCTTCTGGGTCGTCTGGCGCCATTGTGCTCAAGCTGCTGATGCATGCAAGCGTATTGCTTGAGCAGGACTTCGAATTGCCTCGCTCACAAGAAAGGGGAACCCACCAGTTCAACATGCAGCAACTAATGACTGCTTCAATTATATCATAGTGAACAGTGAACAATAGGGCTTAGATGGGCTTACAAAGTCCTCAAATCCTAGCTTAAGTGGACATTGAGCAGCTGTAGCCAGGTCGGCCAAGGCCATATCCATAACTTGAATCGGAGGCTTCATCAAGCGGCGAGAGTGAATTTCCTAGCCACTCCATCTCTGATACGAAACAGCTGCATGGTGTGACAGGCAGGTGTAGTCAAGGTGTCTTTCAAGTCTGGCCGATGCTGAACGGTGGTTCAGGTCTTTCGCCCCATGATGCACTTGTTTCTACTAGCTTCTTGTTACTACTAGAAAGCCACTTGTTACTAGAAGCGATGCACTTGTTTCTACTAGCTTCTTGTTA